CATGTGAAATCATACTGAAAATAAAGAGATTAAGTAAAGATTTGCACCCACACTTAGTCCAGAACACTTACCGCAAAGTCCAACAGATACTGACATATGAAAGTCCCACTCTCCAGATGACTAGCTTTTCACCCTGACCCATGTGCGTCAAGCTTCCAACTAGCCTATTCAACCCTTCGTCTTAAGTATGACCAGGAGGCGGCCAAGGATCAAATAATCAAAAGAGTATTTGAACAAATCCTCTGTAGTGGATTGAACAGTGGCCCCTCAAAAAAAAAAAATCTCCATGTCATAATCCTCAGTACCTATAAATATTATCTTATATGGCAAAAAAGTGGACATTACTCTATGTGTCACAAGATGTGATTAAGGTAAGGAGCCTGAGAGGAGGAGCTTATCCAGGATTATCTGGGTGGGCCCTACATATAATCCCACGTGTCTTTATAAAACACACGGAGAGAAGACGTGCAGAGGAGGAGGAGGCAATGTGGTCATGGATGCAGAGATCAGAGTGGTACACCCACAAGTGAAGGAATGCCAACAGCTACCAGAAACTGGAAGAGAAAAAAGAAGCTTCTTCCCTGGAGCCTCCAGAGGAAGTACATCCCTGCTGACACCTTGATTTTAAATTTCTGGCCTCCAGAACCCGGAGGATAGATTTATTTAAAAATCTATTCTAAACAAGAGAATAGATTTCTTTTGTTTAAGCCACCCAATTTGTGGTAATTTGTTATGGCAGCCCCAGGAAACTGAAACATCCTCTAAGATGGAAGTTGGAGACCTACGCAAACAATCAGACAAAAGAACTCAAAGGAAAGAGAGAGAGAGCAGACAAAATTTAACAGCTTCAAAGGAATAAGAAACAAGAGTAGCAATCTACTAAAATAAATAATAAGGACTCTTAGAAACTAAAAATGTGGCAAAAATAAACAATTTCACAGAAGAGGTGAAAGGTAAAGTTTGAAGAAATCACCTAGAAAGCAGCATAGAACAAAAAAACTAGAGATGGTCAATAGGAGAGAGAAGGTAAGAAAAACTAAATACAGGAGGTCCAACACCTAACTAATTACAGCTCTAGAGGACAATAGATAAAAATAAAAGAGTGGGAAAGACGGTCTCAAAGAGATAATACAAGAAAATTAAGAAGTAAACAAAAGAAGAAACATTTAAAACAAGTAAAATTAGCTGCTCCAGAAGACAGAGGACAGAATGGGAACAAATGATTACAGTGTTTTAAGACTTAAGCTATAGTTGACTCTTTAAGCTTGTATTAGTTTACTTGGGCTGCCATAACAAATTAATAATACTTGGCAGCTTAAAGAATGATAAATTTATTTACTTACAGTTCTGGAAGGCAGAGGTTCAAAGTTAAGTTGTCAGCGGGTTCCTTCCCTCTGGAAGTTCTGGGGGAGAATCTGTTCCATCGCTTTTTCCTATGGCTCTGGTGGCTGCTGGCAACCCTTGCTATTCCTTGGTCTGGGGCTGCATAACTCCAATCTCTGCTGACATCTTTACATGACTTTCTCTCTGGGTCTCTGTGTCAAATCTCCCCTCCTTCCTTTAATCAGAACACCAGTCACTGGACTTGGGACTTACCCTAAATCCAATATGAACTCATCTCGAGATCCTTAACTGAGTTACATCTGCAATGACCCTATTTACAACTTAGGTAACATTCACAGGTATCAGGGGTTAGCACTTAGACATCTTTCTAGAGACACAATTCAACCCACTACAAGCTATTTTTATGAACTACTTTGAACATCCGTACTTATTTCTTTAGCATGTGCGTTTTAAAAGTTTTCAATATCCACTTCCATAGTGACTCCCCTAAAGAGGTTTGCATTAAAAATTCTACCAGCCATGGTTGGAAGTTCCTATTTTCCCCCATTTTGCAAACACTGAATATTATTTACTCTATACACTCTTGGCCAACACAATACACAAATGTGATTTTCTTGTTGACTTAATTTCATGTCCTTAGTTAATTTTATTTCTATTAGGATATTTATCTCATCTGTGTGAAATAAAAATAAAAGGATGTTGATGACAACATTGTTTTGAATAGTTAAATGGATAAAAACAACCTAAACTTTCAGCTATAAGAATTGATTCACTAAATTGCTGTATTGCTCAATTCTATTCAGCTATTGTAAGTGTCTTTATAAAAATACATCTAACATGGCTCAGCGCATATAGCACAGTGGTTACAGTGCCAGCCACATACACTGAGGCTGGTGGGTTTGAACCTGGTCCAGGCCAGCTAAACAATAATGACAACTGCAATAAAAAATAGCCAGTTGTTGTGGTGGGCGCCTGTAGTCCCAACGACTTGGGAGGCTGAGGCAAGAGAATCACTAAAGCCCAGGAGTTTGAAGTTGCTGTGAGCTGTGATGCCACAGCACTCTACTGAGGGGCAACATAGTGAGACTCTGTCTCAAAAAAAAAAAAAAAAAGAAGTGTTTAAGATTAGCAAAAAAAAAAAAAATGCATCTAACATGAAAAGATGATTACAGTGTTTGTAAAACAGATTAAAAACAGTATGCCCAATAGGACACTATATTTTTATTTTTTTTAAAGTACAGATGTAATAGGTAATAACATTACAAACACATGGATAGCATTTACCACGTACCAGGCACTATTTTAAATATTTTATAAATATTACAGCAACTCCATGTAATAGGCTCTATTATCATCCTTGTTTTGCCAAAAAGGAAACAAAGACATTATGACTTGCGCACTGTCACACCACTGGTAAGTGATGGAGATAAGATTTAAATCCAGGCACTCTGGCTCCAAAGCTATGCTATTTGCCACACCCTGCAAAGAAGCTGTCAGACTGTTTCTGAATGAGGAGGGGACTGTAGACAATTTTTGTGTTCTTTTTGCTTGTATATGATTCTAATGTTTCTGTCATGCGTTCGTGTTTATTGGATAGGACCTGATTTTAGCTAGTGGGAATAATAGGGGACCTGACTACTAGCCCCAACTTTGTCCTCAAGGCACGTGGAAAGTACTCAATGAAATTTCTATTCATTGAGCATCTGCTTTGGGGTCAGACACCACTATACTGGAAGCAATGAGTACCATTACTATTCTTATTGTCGGTGTTTTAAACAAGCCAGCAACCCTGTCTGGGCCCCAGAAAAGGAGATTAGCCTAGAAATAACAATGGCAGTTATGGCTAGACTGAATGGTGGTAAACAGGATAAGTCTGCTGCAGGTTATTGGCCCTTTTCAGGGAGTACAGATGGGAAATATTTGCCTTTTAGGAAATGTTCAGGGGAAAAAAACATAAAATTTGAACTAAAGGAAGGGTTTCCCTGAAGACAGATGGTGGGAGCAGTAGGCAGGGCTGAGGCGAGAGTGCTGAACGTGAAGCGGCTGAGTCCCTCCCTCCACGTAAGGGACACTTCCCTGCTGGTCAGTGAGGCAGAAAGGGACAGAGAAAGGGTCCAAGGGCGTGAGGGTGTTACCTGACAGGGAAGGCAAGACCAGCCCTGACGGAAGTAACTGCTGTAAGACGCTGGGGAAACCAAGCCATGAAATTGTCTGACATTACCACAACCCACTACTCAAAATTCACTGGAGCTGTTTTGTGGTTGATTTTCCTGCCTCTTTCCACTCTTAGCTAGACCACATAAATCCTGCCCAAACTATGGCCTCCACAAAGTTAATTCTACTGTTAGTGGCCTTGAGCCCTGGACCCCTCTTTCCCACCTTCCCAGACTTTGGTTTTCTGTTCCCCTCCACTGTGATGACCAAGTAGACAGCACCTCCCAAAATTCCACACCATAGACAAGATCTGATGCTTGTCCCTGGTCCCTGGGAATGACCTGACCTGTCTCTGAACTCTGTTTCTCCTAAGTCTCCACAACCAGGCAATGAGATGATCTCTGTCTTACCCCAATGGAATGGAGTTCAGTGGTGTAATTTTTTTTTTTTTTTTTGAGAAAGGAGCCTCAAGCTGTCCCCCTGGGTAGAGTGCCATGGCATCACAGCTCACAGCAACCTCCAACTCCTAGGCTCAAGTAAGTCGCCTGTCTCAGCCTCCCAAGTAGATGGGACCACAGGTGCCCACCACAACGCCTGGCTATTTTTTGGTTGCAGCCGTCATTGCTGTTTGGCAGGCCCAGGCTGGATTTGAACCCGCCACCTTGGGTGTACGTGGCTGGCGCCTTAGCCACTTAAGCCACAGGCGCCGAGCCCAGTGGTGTAATTTTAAACTCAGACAAAGATGGCCAGTTGGGATGAGACCTATGTGACAGCTGGGTGTAATTGACATCATCTATGAGTCTAATTATTTTATGAAGCTAAAATATAATTAGTATAATCAGATTGAAGCAAACATGATCAAATGGGAGCAATAAATGTTACTTTAAAATAAAATTTAATTCTGTGGGTTCTCTACATAATCTTCTATAATCCCTCTTCCTTCTCAATGGCTCTCTTTCACAGCCACCACAACATGCTGACCTCCCAAAGTCCTACTTCCCCCAGAATGTAGACACTGCTGCCCTAGAGACTGGCAAGGATGTAGACCCTGGACTCACAAAGCCCAGGGTTCAAATCAGTCTTTCCGGTTATTCTCCACTTGGCTTACTTGCCCCACCCTTAAAAGAGGGACAGTAAACACATCCCCAGGTTGAGCTAAGGATTAAAAGCCGTGTGTGTGAAGGGCTCACTGCAGCGCTGGGCTCCAGTTAGGCTTCTGCCAGTTGTAATCATTTCCCCCAGAGTCAGGAAACGAGTGTAGGTTGTAGTCACCAAGCACCCCCGGCTCCATTTCACCACCTCTCAGAAAATCTCCAAATGAGCATCTTCCAAGTAAGCACAAGCCCAGCTCTGTGTGTGTGTGTGTGTGTGTGTGTGTGTGTGTGTGTGTGTGTGTATGTGGTGAAACTATAAACAGCTAAGGTACAGGGAGCCAGTCTAGGCAAGTTTCCCTGGGAAATCACTGCTTCAGAGGTGAGCACCAAGCCCATTTGCTCACGCACTTGGAAGAGATTAGCAGCCTCCAGGACCCGCTGGACGTTGTGCTTGGTGATCAACGCCTTGCTAGTATAGGTGTAGTCCAGGAGAGTGTGCATGGTCTCTGCATCGACCCCTTTGATGATAATCCTCTTCTCATACTTCTCCTTCAAATCATTGCAGAACATGGCCCTGGAAGAGAAATGCATAAAGGTGAATCCTACCATGATCCAGGTTCCAGGCCTTGGGGATCCCTATTCAGACTCATCTGCCCTCATGGAACAGGAGGTTCCCAAGTCCAGGACCTATGCTGATGGCTCCCTGTTTCTCCAGCACCCCCACACATCAGACACTCAGTCCATGTTCACTGAACAGAGCTGAACTGTCCTGCTCTGCCATGGCTAGCTGTGGTCCCCAAAGCCAGTCTCAGATCTATTTTAATGGCATTTACTGGCTCAAAGTACAAAGGATTTGTATGGGAGAATTGTGGGGGCCCCAAACCTAATCTGTCTTTTTACTCCCAGTACCCAGAAAGGGTTTCTTACTCGGTTCCTGGTTTTCACACCCACTCTCCTCTGGCTTAGAGCCTGGTCTCACACACTGGCAAGGCTGTCTGGGGCCTAGATGCCCCCCAGGATTGCACAGCTCCTGTAGCTGCCAATTGCGCCAGAGGCCAAGCCTTTGAGCCCTTGTCTGTGGGGTTCCCAGTAGCAGTTGGGAGCCTCCGGGGACAGAACGCACCAGGGTCATTACTGTGTCTCACCTTGGGATTATTCCCTTCCTGCTCCTTCCCCAAAACTGGACTTTTAAATCTTTAGCTTCTAAATAAGCAAAAAACATGGGAAAAAAGGATGTTGGTTTTAGCATTAGATGGACCAGGATTTGAACACCAGCTCCATCAACTCAGAAGTTGGACATGTTACTTAATCTGTATATATGAGTTTCCGTTTTCTCATTTGTAATGAGGATTTTAATACCTATTTTTAAAGTGTTTTTGTAAGAAATAACCCCATAACTAATTGATAAGTAGAGATTCAGAGGCTTTTTTCTTTTTTCACTCCATGCCAGGCTCAAGTGTGAATTTATCATGCTTCTTGGACTTTTGACATTTGAACTGTTAATATTTCTCAGATAACGTGAGAGCAATTTTGTTTGCAGCAGAACCTCCAGAGTTGACCACTTCCCTATGCTGACCATCTCTTTAAGTTGACCTAATTTTCCTAGACCGGATATGCACCCACATGTATGTATCAGAAGAACAGGCCTGTGTTCTTACGTGACTTACGTGACTGCCTCTGTATGTTGACCAGATTGTTACAGTCACCTGGATGGTCAACTTACAGAGGTTCTACTGTGCTTCTAAAATACATTTAAACCATATCATGCTTCTGAAAAAATGTCTAGAATTCTGAAAACTTAAATAGTGACCAAAATATGGCAAGATTGCATACATTTAAAGCAGGAGAAAGAAGACAGAAAAACATGAGTTATAAAAGATGAAGATAATCCATGAGTCAGACTAGACGTGCACAGTCACTGTAGGTGGTCAGCTACACAATTCACAATTCTTGTGATATGTTTTTCACAAGTCTGAATGCTCAGAAGAAGTATTATTGCTCTTGGCATTAGAGACTAATGGAATTAGTCTTTATTAGAAATAAAGACTAGATGGACTTTCTCTTGAGGATGAATAACAGCCTCACAACGTTCTTATCCCATAAGGCTTGTGCCTAATACCTGTATCTGAGATAATTCCTTCAATCTCATTCACATGAAAACCTGTTCACTCTTTCTTGCCCTCCCAATGGCTGTTAGGCTCCAGCAATTCCATAAGCTGCCCTTGGAAGCTCTGGAACTCAATTTCTTTCAATTCACCAAGCATTTTCAGAATACCCACTGCATTCAGGATACTGGGCTAGGGCCAGAAAGGAACTAAATATTAGGCAGTGCTCTGGCCTGAATTGTGTCCCCAAAAACTTACACACTGAAACTCTATGCCCCAATGTGACTATATTTGGAGATAGGTTAAATGAGGTCATAAGGTTAAGGTCCTAATCTAATAGGATTAAGGTCCTTATAAGAAGAGGAAGAGAGACCAGAATTCTTCCTCTCCGTCTCTCTCTCTCTCTCTCTCTCTTTTTCTTTCTGCCTCATGAGGCAACAGCAAGGAGGCAGCCATCCATAAGCCAGGAAAGAGCCCTCACCAAAATTCAACCATGCTGTCACCCTGATCTTAGAATTCCAGCCTCCAGGACTGTGAGAAAATACATTCTTGTTGGTTGATCCATCTAACATGTGATATTTTGTTATGGCAACCCAAGCTAAGACAGATTTTGGTACTGAGAAGTGGGGTACCGGGATGACAAATGGCCAAAAATGTAGAGATGGGTAATAGATGGAGGCTGAAGGAGTTTTGAGGAAATGCTAGAAGAAGCCTAGATTGCCATGAACAGAATGCAAGTAGCAATATAAGCACTAAGATTATCCTGGTGAACTCTCAGACAAAAGTGAGAAATGAGGTATTGGGAACTGGAAGGAGCAAAGGTGAAAGAGCTCGGCTGAACTGTGTTCCGGTGCTTTGTGGAAGGCAGAACTCGTGAGTGGTGATATTTAGCTGACTACTTAGTGGAGGAGATTTCTGAACAGATGCTGAAGTAGCAGCTTAGTTCCTTCCAACTACTTACAGTAAAATGCAAGGAGAGTGAGAAGAATTGAAGAAGGAATTTTTAAGCCAAAAGGAACCAGAAATTAGAGACTTGACAAATTACAAAATTACAAAAATTGAGAAAGCATAATCTGAAGAGAACACCAAGGCTGTGGTGGGTCAATCATTTGACAAAATGCTTATGAGATTACGCGTCCAGAAACATTGCCATTCTGGACTGAAGGGAGAAGACAAATGAAGAAAGACCATCAGACTTCTAGACTTCTTGGATTTAACAATATGGAAAACTAGAGACACTTAGCTGCAAACATGCCCTACATAGTCTTCAAGAAGAGGGAGAAACTACCCTGAGGATGATTCTGAAATCATAAAGGCCACTGCCTCAGTTCAAGAGTCCAGACAGCCCCCTCCAGAACCTTGTGGGGAAGAACCTATAGCCATGGGGTACTGGGGGTGGGTAGGAGAGTCAAACTTCCACAGCACACTTAAATTATGTTATCAAAAAAAAAAAAGAGTGAAAAAAAGAATGTACTTACTGTGCTTTGAACTTCTTTTGAAAGTAATTTGATTAATGTTCTTTAAAAATTTTCATCACACACCTAAGATTCTCTCATTTCACACCAGTGTGCCACAGCATGCCCCTTGAAAATCACTGCACTAAAGCAACTACCCAACAGAAATGTAACATGAGGTTCAGTGCCTGTAGCTCAGTAGGTAGGGCACCAGCCACATACACTAGGATTGGGGGGTTGGAACCTGGAATCTGGCCCGGGCCTGCCACAACAATGACAACTATAACAACAACAAAAGCCTGGCATTGTGGCGGGAGCCTGTAGTCCCAGCTACCTGGGAGGCTGAGACAAGAGAATCACTTAAGCCCAAGAGTTTGAGGTTGCTGTGAGCTGTGACACCACAGAACTCTACCAACAGTGACACAGTAAGACTCTTGTCTCAAAAAAGAAAAAAAAGAAATGTAACATGAGCCATGTATGTCACCAGTATGTTCTAATCACCACATTGCTAAAAAGTAAAAAGATAAAAATCAATTTGAGTAATGTTGTATTTAACCCAATATATACCTAAATATTATTTCAACATGTAAGAAATATTTTAAATCACTAATACGATAATTTACATTATCTTTTTCATATTAAGTCTTCAAAATCCCTCACATATATTTTATACTTAAAGCACATCTCAGTTCAGACTCACCACAATGCAGATGCTCAGTAGCCACAGGTGGCCAGTGGCTCCTGCATTAGACAACACGATTCTAGAGCACCAGGTATGGGGGGTCACCCAGATCTACAATCATCTCAGAAGGTAAAGTGACCATCACTCAAATGAGTATCATATACATGAATACACAGAAAACAGGACCTTCAGGAGGAGAGGGTGGGCAATGATCCTGTGTACAAATGAAACTTCACGAAACTGAGGTGACCTATCTCTGGAGACCCATTAACATGAACTTTAGAAGTGCGATTGCACCTAGAATGCCATTTTAAGATTAGAGAGGTCAACAAAAGGTGCATTTTCCTGAATATTCAGAGGAAAACTGGGAAAGTCTGATGGAAAGCTGTTTTAATGTTAAATTATATACGTGTGTGTGTGTGTGTGTGTATACATATGGTCCAATGGTATGTATGTATGGTCCAATTCAATGCCTTGCACACTGAGGGGCTCTTAAATGAGCTCTGGCTTGGTGCTGAGTACTGCTCTAGCCCGGGCTAGAGTTTCCTGAACCGGCTGCATCAGAACCCTTTAGGTGCATATTAAGAATGTAGAATTCTGAACCCCACCGACCTAGACCTACTGAATCAAAATTTCTGGTAGCGCAGCTAGGGATATGCATTTTACTAAGTATCCCTGCCCCCCACCCATAAATCCTTGCAAACCTAAGTTTAAGAACAACTCCCCTAGAAAGGGGACACCCCCACTCTCCAATAATGGCTTCCTTGGCTCACTCCTCAGGAGATTGAACAGAGATCAAAGTCAAGGAAACAATAGGTCACAGTGCTGGGATAGACAAGTTCCTGGAGAATTCTCCCTACCTACAGCTTCTTCATTTAGTCTTCTCAGGTCCAGCCCTTCTATAATTCCATGAAGCCTAGGGCTGCTTCCCAAGGAGGGTCGGGGGAAGGTCCCCAGCCTGGAAAGGCTCAGATGAAAGGAAGCTTTGTCTCAGCTTGTTAGGTCTTTCCAAACTTAGATGCATAGAAAAGGCCTTGCAGTTTATATTCGAGTAGCACAGCCCTGCTATTAAGAAATGGTGTGAGATTCTGTTCTCACCTACAGTGCACTTGTAAATTTCACAAACCTGGAACAATGCCTTCAGAGAAGCATTTGGGAGTGCATGGCCCTCCCTCGTTCTACTCCAGAGACATGATCAACAGCACTGTACGCCTCTCTGGGGAATGGTGTCAGCTCCTTCAAAGCCCAGCCACCAGTTGACTTTTTCTCCAAACTAGAAGACAAGCTCTCCTCGGAGCTGCCCCCACCTGGTGCTAAGCATCATCAGGCCTTG